ACCTTTTGCCCACGCACACGAGTTTAGGCTTGACTCAAGCCTTTTCGATCTCAGTTTCTACACGAACTTTCGTGCGTCAGTGCACAACCTTGGCCATTTTCCGGAACTTTCGTGCGTCAGTGCACAACCTTGGCCATTTTCCGGACATTCGTGTCCACGTACATGAGTTTAGGCTTGACTCAAGCCTTTTCGATCTCAGTTTCTAGTTTGAATTTGATTTACACCCCCCCCCCCCACCCCACGCGCGAGAAACCTTTATGTTATACAATTCTACAAGTTCCAAAAGAGCTCTTGTATAAAAAGGGAGGCAAATCCTCTTTCCAAACCAATGTGGGACAAAAGCTCAGGGTCCGTTTACCAACAGAAAACTGTTTTCTGTTTTCTATTTTCTAATTTTTTAGTTTTCATTCTCAGTTTTCTGTTTAGAAAACTTGTTTACTAATTGAAAACGGTTCTCTGTTTTCTATTTTCTAATTTTCACCTAAAATTTAGTTTAGATAATATTAATAATTTTTGAGCTAATATTTAAATATTTTTTTGGATATATTAATTTGAATGACATGTATATGAATATATAACTTTTACTTTGAATTCTAATATATGTGATATTTTAATATCCGATATCTGGACTGAACTTGTATTATGATGTAACATAATTAAAAATATTCGAACTAATAATCTATTGAGTTCAATCAAAATCTAAAGCATTATATAGAGTTTAATTATTAATTTTGATAATGTAAAATGTCTAACTTTAAAGTGTAAGCAAATAAATTATCTTTAAATAAGTAAAGTAAGTAGAAAAGATAGAAGATAGTGATAAGTAAAATAAGATGATAATGAATGTAATCATAGTAATGTTGTTATAGTGACATATAACTAAATAGATGATAGATGATTCTGTTTTTTTTCATTTCGAAAACAATTTTTAAGTGTGTTCCAGTTTTCCACAAATTTCCAGAAATTATTTTCAGTTTTCAAAATGGAAACTGTGTTAGTAAACATGTTTTCTGTTTTCTATTTTCCAGTTTTTGAAAATTCCCAGAAATTTCCAGTTAGTAAACGGCCCCTTCCCTTCATTTTTCCAACTCAATGGGTCTACTTTGAGAATCAATATCTCATTCACCCATTATCCGTTTTGAGCGTACAATATATCAATCTCTTCATCTTACTACGAAGAACCCGAATCCACTTTGACACGACCCAAATCGGAAGTGGACCGCACTAATAATTGTACCACAAAATAGCCACTTAACACGTCATTTTAATGTTATTTTTCCAACATATGTCACATGATTAATGTTATGTCAATTTTTATAATACATTATAATATTTTCTTGAATGCTAATACATTATAATATATTTACAAAATATATAAATACACGTTTTACCACTGCACTATATTATCCATTTATTATTTTATTTAATAAAAAGTTTTTGGAATTGTACCGGTTACTACTCGATCCATTATTGCGTGGACTGTAATCTACATAGGCATATAGATCACAATTTAAAAACACATAAAGTACATTATTCTAACTCATAAAATACATTATTCTAACATATAAAGTACATTTTTCTGACTCATAAAATACATTATCTTACTCTAGAAATTTTATTATTTTAACACATAAAATAAAATACATTATTCTAACACAAAATATATATATTATTCTAACACATAAATTACATTATTCTAACTCATAAAATACATTATTCTAACTCATAAAATACATTATCTTACCACAGAAATTTCATTATTCTAACACATAAAAGTACATTATTCTAATTCATAAAATACATTATCTTATCTCAAAATGTTTATTATTCTAACAAGCTAACAAGAAATTTTTAACATAAAATGGCATCATTATATTTTAAACCGTGGTCTACAAAACTATGTGAGTCCACAAAATAATTTGTGGTTACTAGTGCATTATCTCATTGTATTTGGTATAATTATGCATAAGATTTTAACAAATTAATGTTAATATAAAACAAATATGAGATTCAAATTGTTGTGATTACCCATTAGTTCAAATATGGTCTACCATTCTTTGTTGAACTCTTTTTCGGTGATACATATTATATAAATATAAATATATATTATTACCCCATCAAAAGCATTTGAAGTTCGAAGTGGGGGATGAGAGATTGAGAACAAAATTCTAGCTAGAATATTATTTTAGGTAGAAATGTATAGGATATAAGTACATAACACTAAAAAAGAGTCCTACCAATAGAGTCCTAATACTTCTTCTCAAACTCAATGGATTAGCTTACTACATTGAACTTGTCACGCAAAAATACAAAACATGAAGATATCAGCAAGCTGATCCAAAACGTACACTGTAATAAGTCTATTAACTTGCGGTAACCCTCCACAACAGCGGAACCATTAGCAAGTAATAGAGCAAAGGTATACATAGGCATGTTAACGGATTTTTCTTCATCCATATGAAAACTAGACAAAATATTAGTGATGTGCCGAATCTGAGACCAAAAAAAAAAAAAAAAAAAAACCATAAATAGGGACATCTTAAACCCCTGTCAAAAAAAGGGACATCTTAAACCCCAAGAAAATGATGAATCGAAACCGAAATCTTTTAATCCAAAACAACAAGACAAAAGACTAACAAATTTATCCAAAAACACCACATTATTTCCCGTAAGAACAATATGTTCGACATACACAAGAAAGTAAGCTAACACTATGCAAACTATACACAAACATAGACGCATCAGAAACCGTTTCTTTAAATCCAAAGTTAACCACGAAAGAAGACAATTCCGAATACCATGCACGAGGCGTCTGCTTCAAACCGTTTTTTTTTTTTTTTTTTTTTTTTTTTTTTTTAATTCTAGATATTTTTAGGTTAATATTTAATATTTTAATACTAACTATTAAAGTATTAAATAGTTTATAATTACAAAGTATTAAATATTTTTTTAAATCTTTTAAATTTATTATTTTTTTTAAAGGACACCTAGGCACTAGGTGCTTGCAACCTTGTATCTGGGTCCATTGACTTGGTCTTTCTAAACACTATCATGCAGAATTTATTTATTTTTTCCTTTTTAAATTCAGCCTATACCTTTTGTCCCCTCTTATTTTTAAGATTGAAAATCTTACAATATCTTGCAAAGGACGAGTGATGGGCCTCTTCTTTTTCAAAGTAGCTTTTGCAAATGACGAATTTTGAGCTCAGGGTTGTTCTTCATCTTATCTTGCATTTGTTGTAAAAGGGGTGTTATAAGCTCAAATGGTTGTGAGGTGTGCATAGGGATCAAGTAGGTTTATATTAATTGCATGCTTGTTTGAGGTTCAATCCACCACTTTCATAGACTTAGGTCAATAATCTTTCGAAATGGGAGTGTAAACAAAATAGTTTGTGGAATCTAAGGTGATATGACATGGAAATGAACTCTCACACATTCGAAGTGTATGTGAACTTAAGAGTTTGTAGTGACTCGAATACGGTTCGAAGTCAACTTAGTCAAAAGATTTCCAATCTATTAGGGTCCTATATATTCCAAAAAAAGTTGTGGTGCGTGGGACTAGTAAATTCGTGTAGGCTAACATCAATAAGATATGTAATTAAGAGAAATTTCTCTAAGTAATTTAATAAAGCTTTTTCCAATTATGACCTTTAACTTTTTATTTAAAAGTGTAAGTGTACAAATTAGTACACGTTAGATTGACTAATTTATTAGTTTTATTTTATTAGTATGTAATGCTAATTAGTATGAGTTGTAATTATTATTATTGGACCAAGCTAAAATGTGTGGTGGAGATTTCTCTTTAATGAGTTGAACTAAGAGCAAGTCTCAAATTAAAGAATATGTGGTTGAGAAGAATTCAAGCCACATGTGAAAGCTACAATAAAGCCCAAATAAATTATAAGCTCTACAAACAAAGCTCTACCAAATAGTGCCAGTGTCACGTTAAAAAAAATAATAATGAGTAAAATTTTCGAGAATATGTGTGTACCATTACTCTAAATGAAAAAATAAAAATAAAAATTCCAAGCACTGCCAAACTCAATGGAACCCACAAAATATTGCAATTTGATCTTTGTTCATTGACTTGGTCTTCTCAATAATTTCCCACTACACTGTACCAAGCCAATAATTCCACATAACGGGACCATCACATGTGGAATTTTCGTACAGTATATAAGGAAGGGAAAACGAAAGAGGAAGTTGCCAATTCTGAAATTCTGATCACATACGTAAGCTTTTTATATCACTTCTTTAATACTGATTATGTTATATTTGTGATTCAATTCTGTACTTCAAGTCAGTACCTGTGACAGCTGAAGCGCTACACCAAAAATGGTTATGGCATGCACGGTTCAGTCCTGAATAAGTGTTTTAGAAGAGTTGTAGTGGTAAAGGCTATGAGCCGTTTGTAGTTACCTCTTGTAATACTCTGTGGTGAACATCTAGTGGATTGGGCAGACGTGGGTTGCCCCCGCAGACGTAGGAGAAACGCTCCGAACTGCGTAACAATTCTACTGTGTCTTTACTTTATTTATGCTTTCAATTTCGTTATTTATTCGTTGATTAAATTGATTTAATTAAACAACAAAATTGTCTCGGAACTTAAAATCAAGTAGAATCCTTAGTGTTAAATTGATTTCAAGATACACGGCCATTTTCAAAAAGTTAAACGTATATCAATTTAATAAGTTAATTTATAAACTCCTTTTTTTTTTTTTTTTTTTTTCTTTTTTGAATGGAAAACCATCATTAACTTTCAAAAAGTAAATGTACAATACAAATAAGAATAGAAAAAATCTAAATGCCAACTATTATGTAGTGTGATAACATCTTTGTTACCATTCCAAATATATAGTCATGGAACCGAACCTCAGTAATCCAAATAGCATGACAAAAGTAGGTTTATTTTTTAGATCAGATGATATTATAATCTTTCAGTTGTAGAGTGTACACATAATTCTCACCATCTTCTTCTTTTTAATCGTTGATTCTTCCTGTGTTCACAATATTACTAAATTAAATTAATTTGGGCCCTCCAGTTTCACAACATTAAGCTATACTAGCTACACATCATCTCCCAATAAAAATATTTAAGGAAAATGTCCAAAATGCAACATGTTGTGTGTCTTCTCCTGGCCTACTCCAGCCATTCTGCTCTACATTTGTGCATAAACCTCCTATACTGTACTTCTTCAATCACTGTTGATACCTCAAAATCAATTCTTTTACCCGCTTTGACAGCAATATATTCAGCTTCCCTTACAATCCAAGCACCATAGCTTTTTCTTTTGACAACAACACCAATGCCTTTCTGTCTGATGTGCATGTACCGCAAAAGGTCTGGACAACTCGTGCTTCTTATCATCTTATGTGCAAGCGTACATGTCCTGTACAAGTTTGACTTGAGGCTTTCTGGTCTAATTCTTGTTCTCCCTTTTATTTCCATCCTCCAATTGACTCCACATCCATCCAAATGGTATAAAAATCGCTCCTAATTGCTTTCATCATATCCACACAAACAAAGCAAATAAAAACTCTGTTAAAGAAGTGTCTGTCAAGTGTGAAGGATATACTTACAATAATCCTTTTTTGCTTTTCATTTGCAGCAAAAGCTGGTGCTACTTAACATCCTTATGGTTCATGAAGATGCAGGAATGAATCCCCTTGAGGATGGAAAGAAACGTATTTCGCCTTCTCTGTTTCTATGTATTTCAAATAGACAAAATATCATCTGCAAAGAATTGAATTCTGCATATACCTCCAATACTTCTCCCATCCTTGTTGGAACTTCAAAAGACATAGAATCACTACTACTGAATTCGACATTAGAACTCACATTGATGTTACTATAATTGGGTTCCTTTAGAATCCAAGCACCATTGCTTTTGCTTCTCACACTCAAACGAATTCCATTGCAACTATCAGCATCATCAATTTCACCGGGATCAATCACATTGTGCATGATTTGAAGCTTTACATCCCCCAAACGTATAGGAAAATGGCAGGTTACAGACCCCAAGCCTACTGCAAGCGAAATCTGGACACTATCATCTTTAGAACATGCCTACATTATGGAGTACAATATAACAATTAATACCAAAACCATTACCATCTCCATCTATTATATATATATATATATATATATATATATATATATATATATATATATATATATATTATTAAAAACACCAAATTATTAGAGATGAGGGGAACATATATAACTAACCTTGAACCACTTTTCAATTGAAGGAATCCTCAAACCACTGCAATTTGCTATCCCAAGAAGATGTAAGGATTCAAGACTCTCCAAGCCTGAAAGCTCAACCAAACTTTTGCAGTTCTGAAAATCTAGCCATTTGAGTCTTTTAAAGTTTGATAGATCTGCTATTTTTTCTAATGCCACACAATTCTTTGTAGAGAGGCTCATCAAATTAGGAGGAAGTTGTGGAAGTGATCTAAGGTTTTGCAGATCGTCCAAGCGGAGAATCTTCAAATTGGGCAAATGGCAAATGCTTGATAGTAAACTTTGAAGATAGTATCTTCCATTTAAATCTAATTCTTTCAATGGAAGATCATCTACTTCATGCAAATAGTTGTCAGGAATAGTTAGAGCATTGCAATTGCGTATGTTAAGCTCTATTAAGGATGAAACACTCTCCATGTTTGGAAGCTCAACCAAACTTTTGCAGTTTTGAAAATATAGCCATTCGAGTCGTTTCAAGTTTGATAGATCTGCTATTTTTTCCAATGAGACACAATTTTTTGTAGAGAGTATCTCCAAACTAAGAGGAAGTTCTTCAAGTACTCTAAGATTTTGCAAATCATCCAAGTAGAGATGTTTCAAGTTTGAAAGATGACAAAGCCCAAAGGGTAAGCTTTGAAGATAACAACTTCCTGATAAATCTAAAGTTACCAATAAGGTAAAATTCTCAAGAGTGATCCTAAAATCTACTTCATGTAGATAGTTGTAACTCACACTTAGAACTTCCAAGGAGGATAAATTTGCAACTGAAGGTGGAAAAAATCCAACCCCATCACGCTTTCTTCTTGACAATAAATGAGGTGATAAAGTGTCAAGAAGTTGAGATTTTAAGTGGGATTGTACAGAACTCTTGTGCCCCCCTAGATCCAGTGTCTTTAGATTTCTCAAACATCCCAAAGAAATTGGTATATGTGAGATGACAGTTTTACGGGCAAGTAAATCTCTTAGTTGCTCTAATTTTCCCAACTCAATAGGAAGCTCCCTCAATTTTTCGCAATAATCTAAATCTAAAACTTCAAGTGATTTTAACTTTCAAATGCTACTTGGAAGAACCTTGAGTTTCTTGCAACTTTCAAAATTTAACCAAACTAGTCTCTCCAAACTTCCAATTGATGGGTGTACCTTGACCAAATTTGAACAATGCATAAAGGATACATTTTGAAGAGTATTTGCCCCACTGAAGTTTGGTGTTTTCTTAAGTTGTTGACAATAATCAAGCTTTAAGATCCTCAAGCATCTGAAATGCTGTTGAAAAAAAAAGTAAAAAAATTAAAGGTTTAATCAATTTATGTTTTTATAGTCAAACTTCTTAATTAAGAAATATGCAATGTTGAAAGAAGCATTAGACATACTAACCTGCATATTGCATTTGAATTCTTTGACATTGCAACCATTCATATCTAACTCAACAAGTTTCTCACAGCAAAAATCAGATGGTATGCTCCTCAAATGGCAATGGTGTAATCTAAACAATCTAAGTTCATTGGATAAATATTTAAAAGATCCATTGATACTCATATGACCCAATATGAGTATTCTTAACTTTACCATCCTTGTAAATACTTTGGTACTCAGAGGCACATTCCCTAACATGTTTGAATTTGCAATTATCCCTTCAATTACTTCGGTGCCCTATAAAAAAACATTTATATATCGTTATTTCAGATTTTAGATATTCTAAAAATCTTTAATTTGATTTTAAGATAATTAAGCATAACAAGCAAATGGATTAACTAGAATAACTCAAATACAAAAGAAATGTTTTACCTTGTCACCATGAAGAACATCAAATACATCATTTGGGTCAACCAATCTACTTTGTTTGCCGGGCTCTCGTGGAGATTCCTTTCGTACAATTTCTCTTCCCATATCTTGTACTAAATCATGCATCTGAAGCCTTTCAGACACTCCATCTATTGTCAACAGGCATCTTTCTATCAAGGTTTTGATTCCAATTTTGGCATAAAAACCACAAGCTTCCAATATTATAGAAGTGTCATTTTCGTCATCCCCAATGAAAAAGCAAGCAATATCGAGAAAGATGTTTTTAGTATCATCATCAAGTGCATCATAACTTATTTTAAGAATATTTTGAACTTTATCATTAGGCATTTTTCTCAATTTCTCAGCATTGTCGATCCACTCTTCCACAGATCTTCCACGCAAATGAGAACCTATAATTGTAAGTGCTAAAGGAAGTCCACCAGTATAACTTACTATTCTTTCGGATACTTCAGTATACTCCTCTAATGGTATAGAAACACCAAAAGCATGCCAACTCAATAGTTGAAAAGATTCAAAAAAGTTTAATGTTTTTACCATGTACTTCTCGTGTGCTCTAAGGTCACTCAACAAATGAACATCTCTGGTTGTTATTATAATTGTACTGCTTGAACCAAACCAATTCCGTTGTCCAGCTAATGATTCTAGTTGACTAATATCATCTATGTCATCGAGAACAATAAGAACCCTTTTTGATCGCAACCTTTCTTTGATCAAACTGATTCCTTCATCAACATTATCTATTTCAAGTTTCTTTGTATTGAGAATTTTGCAAAGAAGTTTCTCTTGTAAACGAACTAAACCATTGTGCCCCTCAGAAACTTGTGATCTAATGTTTGCAATAAAACAACAACCGTCAAATCTTTGATAACTCAAGTTGTAAATGGCTTTAGCAAGGGTTGTTTTTCCCACACCACCCATGCCAAAAATTCCAATCATCTTGACATGATCATTTGTTTGAGTTTGCAATAAAAGAAGTATATCTCTAACACGAGAATCAATTCCAACAGGATACTTTGCTACATTTATGTATGTACGATTTACTTCCCGTAATACCTCTTCAGTAATTTTTTTGATGAACTTCGACTCATACCTATTATATTTTTCAAAGACTGTCAGTCTAAATCATTAAAGAATATATAGGCAGAAAACAATAAACTAAGAAATCAAATACAACACATGATACAAAACTCTAGTTCAGTTATATTTAATTTTTTTTATCAACTGGTATAATCAATTCATAATTATAATTTCCAAAAAAATTAATATTTATGACAAGTAAAATGAAAAATAATAAAATTAATTGAAATGCATGATGTAGATTCTTGTTGTTTTACAAAAAATTTACATCCATTGGTAAAGATGTATAGATGCTAGAAGGCAAATTTTAATTAGCAAAATTAATATAATAGGGTTACACTTTTGTGAGACCGTTTCGTGAAATGGGTCGGGTCGATTCAGATCAACATGCAAATGTCATACTTATATGTGCAAATGATATACTTATATGCTCAAATGTAATACTAATAACGAATAAAGTGTTTGTTACTTAAAAGGAAAATTATAATAATTTTGAGAAAAAATGTAATAATTTTCCATTTTGAAATAAAAGTATTATATTTTCCAAGTAACGTTAGCAAACATTTGTTACTTATAAGGGAAAACATAATATTTTTGAGAAAAAATGTAATATTTTAAAATCAAAATGTAAATTTTTTTACATTTTCTCTTAAAAGTATTACATTTTCCCATATAAGATATATAAACACTTTATTCTTAATTAGGGTGTGTTTGGTTTGCACATGGGGATCATAATAAAAATGGGAATCATATACTTGGTAATTGTGATGTGTTTTGGTGAAAGTATTTTGCATGTTTGGTAGTAGGGTGGAATTGGAATGATTACATATATTGATCGTTTGGTTGTGTACATTGGAATAAATATTTTAAAGATACAAAAACAAAAAATTAAATCAATTAATCCTAATATATTGACATCTAAAACATCATCAATATGTACAACAAAAATCAAAACAATAATCTAAAAGTACTAATTCAAACTTAAAAATTAGATTACCAATAAGACGGAATGATACCCCTTTTTAATTAGATAATGAAATTTTTAATTGAAGGATAATCGAAACACATAGTTGCTCCATTATAAGGGAGGTTGTGGGATCGAGTCTCAGCGGAGGCAATATTGACTCTTCGTACTTCAATAGACTGAGAAAGCTAAGTAGTTATGACTGCAGTGTAATAGAGTCAGTAGTATTCAAAAAACACATAGTTGTATTTTGATTCTCATTCCTAATGTGTGTAAACCTATGAATCAAACACACCCTTAGTATTACATTTATGCATATAAGTATTACAAGCATTTTCATCGATCTTGACTCAACTCGTCCTATAGTGAGACGATCCCACACACGTTTTTGCCAAATATAATATCATTAATCATGTTGTGACAAATATATCGATCATACTATCACACCAAATATAATAATAATTTTTTTGAGCAAAAAAAAAAAAAAGGATTACCCGTTTTCCATGATTTTCAAATCCCATCCTGACAAATTAGCAACAGTAGTGAGTGCAGCTTTCCACTCATCAACTCTTTGATCCCCAAATCGTTCTAGATGTTGAATCAATGAATCACCAAATTCTCCTGTTTGTTTGCGAACTTCTGAAGGATCAACATCATAGAATATTGGAAGAACCATTTGTCCTAAATTCTGTTTACATTCAACAATCTTCACCAGTTCATCAAGACACCATCTAGATCGAGCATAAGTTTTAGAGAATACGATAATTGATATCTTGGACCCTTCGATAGCCTTCAATAGCTCATCAGAGATGCTCTCGCCTTTCCGGATCCCTTCATCATCTCGAAAGGTATTAACTCCAGCTTGACACAAACTTAAATAAAGATGATCAGTAAAGGATTTTCGTGTCTCTCCTCTAAAACTCAAGAAAACATGGTACAACGAAGCAGCAGATGATGATGATGATGATGAAGAAGAAGAAGCCATAGTTGATATTGATCTGTGAATACACTACTTTCTGTTTTGATTTGCTAGAAGAGATTGGGTGTAGTAGACAAGCGGTGACTTAGACATTACAAAGTAAGATAGGAAACTTCATTCTTTGGAATGCGAAACTCAAAGGAAATTTCTTTGTAGCAAATCGGCAGCGATGACTTAATTGGTCTTCTTAATAATTTCCCACTACACCCTACCAACCCAATAATTCTACATAACGGGACCAACCACATAATAATGCATCCTTTTCGTGGACCCCACCTATTTACCATCAATCATGTTCAGTGCTCATGCTTTCTTCCTGGACCCCACATATTAGTGTCACATTTGGATATAAATAAAAGAAGATTAAAACACAAAATTAAGAAATCAAATTGAGCAGACCAGCACAAAACATTATGAGTTCTATTTGACATTTTGAGATACCTAATTTATAAGTAGTTACTGAGACTAGTATTTCAAAATAAACTATTATTTTAAACTACTAATGTTTTACCAAATAAAATTTATAATTCATTTTTTGTTTAGAATTTATACTTTCTCAACCTATTAAAACACAAAAAACTAATAACACCTCCACTGAGGCTTGAACTCATAATCTTCCAAATGAAAATCTAACCCGGATATTTTTTTATTTTTATTTTTTTGTTTAAAATAAGTTATAAACTATAAAATAAATTCTACCATACAAGAGCCACAATCAATCAAATATATTAAACGATAAACTCATGTCCTTATAATTCATTTAATCTATAATAAGCAAGTTGTAAATAATTAATTTACCAAAACACTTTTCTACAATCAGCTATCCGTTATTAGTTGACTCAATCACCTACCATCTACTCGCCAAAATAATTGCCAAACACCCCTAATGTATTTAAATTTTTAATTTCGATAGTTCTTTTTAAAATTTAATTGATTTTATTTTTTAATAACTTTAAAATTTTCATAGTTCAAATAGTTATGTAATATGAATTATTTTATTCAAATTTTATATAATACCAACGTTTTTCGAATATTTGCATGTCATGAATTTTCCATATATGCACAAAAATTTATAAATGTCACATGCTTCAAATTTAATGATTATAAAATTCAAAATAAAAGTTAAGGTAATGTATAATTTAATTAGACATTATTAAAATGCTACTCGTATATCTTAAGATACCCACTCTCAAATTTAATATGTCACTGTAATGAGTTAAATTAATTTTTTTTTTAATTTGTAATATAGCATACATTATTATAAGTAGTAAAAATGTAAAACTAAATTACTTTTTAAAAAAAAAAAATCTACTATAATATACAACATATTGTCATTGTCACAATGTCACTTCCAACAAAATTAACATATATAGTGGAGAGTGGGGCTAGTACTAAAGACTTTTCAACATAAAGCAATTAATTAAAAGCAATGACGGCCAAAAATCATGTGCTCAAAGCCTCAAACGGTATGTAAGTGACTCTTTCAAATGGAGGTCATGGGTTTGAGCCTAAGTGGGACGCTATTGACTTGTTGGGTTTCAATAGGTTGAGACCTCGGTGGGGGCGATATATAAAAACATATACTACATGTAATAGGGTCAATGACGAAGAATGTGGCTAAACCTTTTAACACAAGAATCCATAACAACATTCAATTAATAATTACTTGTTCTACGATGATCAAACTCCTTGATTATTCCTCTCTTTAATATAATTTTACGGAATAACATGCTCTCTTCTCCGTCCAACTAGCTAGGCGAAGAAGCTGGTTTATGATGAGAAGTCATGGTCAACTTCTTTGTCATTTTTTTTTTTTAAACTCCAAACATCCATAACTTTTTTTTTTTTTTTTTTTTTTTTTTTTTTTTTTTTGCATATCATCAACAAAAGAGAGGCATAGCCTTACAGAGTACTTCCTTGGCCCAAAAGTGACCAAGATCAAACAAAAGTTATTATGTGTAACCATTCATACTAAAAATGCTATATAAGACCAAAGATGATGTCCTCCTCTCGAGCTGCAACCTTGACCTTCCTTGGATCCCCCAAGTGAGTTCGGCTTTATCTATTACTCCCCGTTCTTGCCATCTAACCTTCTCTCGGCTTGGAAGCCCATAACCTTGACTTACCTTGTCCCTTATGATTTGCTATTGGTCCCTTCCTCCTTTCATGCCATTCATACTTATCATGCTCATCCCCAAAAGGTCCCAAGCCAAGCCCTTAGATGTTGTGCTCCCAAAAGAATCCTAAGCCCTCACCCCTAAGGCGCAGGGTCAACTTACCCCGCACAGATTACTGTGTTTTAACCGGAGAAGTCACTTATGCCCCCACCTAAGGCAATGAGACCCACCCTTGCCCCCCAAGATGGACTCCTATGTTGATACCAAGGTATTTGCACAAAGGAAGCCATTTAGCCTTGGGGAACAAGCAATGGTAACTTAGGACTATTATTCTTAAATCACAAGATGACACTCCCTACTAGCACCCAAAGGTAGTTGCGTAGGGAGGCCACTTGGTCTCATGACTGAAGCAATAATAAAGCATCAAACCTATCATCCCAACATTTCTTCATCTTTTTTCTTTTTTCATCATTCTTTCTTTCTTTCTTTCTTTTTTCCATCATTTTTTTTTTTCTATTCTTCTTATTTTTTCAGCTTCCAAATTCCTTTTTTTTTTTTTTTGTTTTTTAACACCACCAGGCTCCCTCAAGAGTCCAACATCTATGGGCTTAGCCGGACCATCCAGATGAGCAATCATATCCACCATCTTTCACACACCCAAGGGACATAGCCTCGGATTCCCCCTGCCTCTCAAGATGAAGCCCCTTACTAATACCAAAGTATTTGCATAAGGGATCCATTTGTTCTCAAGTGACAGGCAAGCATTTCCAAGGTAAGTCAAGGTTAGAACCTGCAAGCCAAGTAAATAAACAACCAACTTTCACAGTCCAGAAAATATGCCTTTACTTACCTGGTTGATCCATGAGAGGTCAAGCTTCTACCCCAAGAGGCTGAATCTTCTGCTGCTGCTATATATGTGTAGCCTTACTTCAGATATAATGCTTCAACAATTCCTTTCTAGTTGCAGCTCCTTGTGAAGTTGAAACAAGACAAACAAAGCACAGTAGGCCTTCAGATTATGCAGAACATTAGGCCAGATCTTTGTCATTTTGTTAAAATATTTAAGTGATTTATTACATTTAAATTTTACTAGTTACTTTAGGTAATCCACTATTTCGTTTAATTAAATCAAATCGACAAGTTAGTGTGTTTAGTTGTAACTTATTAAAATTCAGAAGTCTAATTACATATTTTACATAAAGTTTAGGACGCCTATTTAACCATTTTTCCTTTAAATTTATTATTTTTTGTTATTTTTAACATTTAAAATTAATTTATAATTTTTTTCCCGCTTCTTTGTTGGTGCGTGTTGGATATCGATGAATAAATTGATACACAAAAAATATATATAAATAAGTGTACAAATTAGTACACATTATATTGGCTAATTTATTTAGCTTTGTTAGCTTGTTTTATTAGTTTTATTTCTTTAGTTAAATCTTTGGACCATTACGTATTTGAGGTGGAGATTTATTCAAAAAGAATAATTCAAAGCACAAGTCATAGAGCATTACAAAGAATGAGTGGCTACGAATGATTGAATCACATACGCTACACATATTGTGGATCAAGGAAATGAAAGTTTGAGCGTATAAAAGGAAGGCTCATCAAAAGGGAAAGTTGCCAATTTTAAGTTTCCAATTCTATACGCAAGATTACTCTACTGCTGCTATATCTAGTTAAATATATTGGTGAATTAATTCTGGACTACTAGTCAGTACCTGTGACAGCTGAAGCTACACATCAAAGATTGTTATGGCATGCACGGTTCAGTCCTGAATAGGTGTTAGGAAGGGTTGTAGTGGTGAAGGCTGTGAGCCGTTTGTACTTACCACTTGTAATACTCCTTGGTGAACATCTTTAGTGGATTGGGCAGACGTGGGTTGCCCCGTAGACGTAGGAGAAGCGCTTCGAACTGCGTAACAATTCTCTTGTGTTTTTATTTACTTTATGCTTTCAATTTCAGTTATTTACTTTGATTAATTAATCTGATTAAAAATGAAATTGGTACGTAACTTAAAAACACAAGTAGAATTCTAAGTGTTATATTGAATTCAAGACTCACGGGCATTTTCAATTGGTATCAAAGCCTGCAGACTTAATTTATTAGTCTGTCGATCTAGCTACTCCGTGCCTCTTGAACTCAAGCTTTCAGCGGCTTTTATTAATCTTTCTTATTATGTTAAATTGTGCAATCTCACGGGTCGTTGAGTGTTACAGAATGGAGCATACTAAGGCCCTTCCCCAGCTAGTCGGTGACAACTACGCTTATTGGAAAGCTCGCACACGTACTCATCTCAAAGCTCAAGGCGATGCAGTATGGCGGACCGTAGTAACAGGTTGGGCTCATCCGACCAAAGCCAGTACCAGCGATGACGGAACACGAGTGACCAAGCCTGAAATTGAGTGGACTCTAACAGAAAAAGCCAGTGTTGGAAATAACGATAAGGCTTTCGATATTATTTACGGGCTCATTCTTGAAAGTCAATTTCCTATTGTTGTAGGTTATGATTCAGCCAAAGGTGCATGGGAAGCCCTAGAGGCAACCTATGAAGGCACAACGTCCGTGAAACAATCGAAACTGTAACTAGTACAGTCCGATTTCGAGGAGCTCCAGATGAATGAGGATGAGACCATCGTGACCTTTCACACTCGTGTGTAAGAACTTGCAAATCGTGCGATGGTCCTCGGTGAACCATTCACTCAAGAAAAACTGGTGAAAAAAATTCTAAGGTCACTACCACCTCGGTTCTGGATGAAAGTTACAGCTATCCAGGAGCATGACGAATGGGAGAAAAAGACGGTGACACAATTAAAGGGGAATCTACGAACTTATGAAATGGAAATCTTAACAGATCACACAAAAAAAAACAAAAAACTATAGCTTTTGCCGCTGAAGAAAATAATGGTGTATTTGATTTAGATGAAATAGGTGATGATCTAGTTGTATTTATGACTAAACAATTTTCTAAACTTTGGAAACATGTATCAAAAGGTTCGCACAATAGATATTCACAAAAAGGAGCATCATCATAAAAAACTGGTC